GCCGCGTCCTCCCGCGGCCTCCGCTCCCAGCGCCGCCTCTTAGAGCATCTCCGGGCAGCGGAGCCTCCCGGGCAGTCGGGGGAAGAACAGACTTGTCCGAGGAGAGAGCCGGGAAGAGGGAAGAAGTCCTCGGGGAGAAGGCGTGGAAAGGGGGGGCGGTGCAGGCAGCGGCCGCCCCGGCGGCACCTCGATCTCCTGGGCTCCAAGGTCTCTGGGCCAGAAGCGGAAACGGGTTTCTCGAAAGTGAAGGAAGAGCCGGAGTGAGCGGGACCGACGCGCAAGGAGCGGAGCCCAGCCAGATGTGCGGCTCCAAGGCTCCCAGTGCCTGTTATCCAAACAGCAGCGCCGGGAGTTAACTGTGTGTGTGCCCGGCGGGCAGGGAGGGCCGGCTGCCTCCTCCTCCCCGCTGGCCCGGAGCTGGCCCAGGCGGGACAGGGTGGCCACTGGGAGTGCCTGGAAGTCCACCCCGCTGTGGGGCGGCTGGGAGCCCAGGACAAGACGGGTTGGGGACCCCAAGTTGCCTGGTGGCAGGGGGTGGGATCCAGGAGCTCAGGGGCACGGGTAGCCAGCGGGGAGGGATTGAGTCTCGCCCCGTGGCAGCCCTGAGACACGCCTTGGATCAGGGCCTCCATCTGGGGACAGGGACCACGGACGTGTGGGGAAATCTGTGACCCCCAAAGCAGAGCGCAGAAGTGCCTGTGTGCACATGTCTGGACACATGTGCCTCTTTGGACAGGGATGGTCTGTTGCTCTGGTCAGATCCAGGTCGGCGTGAGCAGGGCCAGAGGAGAATCTCACCTTTCCTCCCTCTTATACACAGTTCTCTCTTTTTAAAAATATTTTTTTTATTGATTTCAGAGAGGAAGGGGGAGGGAGAGAGAAAGAAACATCAATAATGAGAGAGACTCATCCATCCGTCCATCCATCCTGCACACCCCGCACTGGGGATGGAGCCTGAAACCCAGGCATGTGCCCTGACCAGGTATCAAATCAGCGACCTTCTGGTTCATAGGTCGATGCTCAACCACTGAGCCACACTAGCCAGACTACACAAGTTCTTTCTAAGCCAGTCCCCTGGCTCTGCCTCACAGCCCGATAGCTACCTCAGGGTGCCTGGGTGCTTCCCTCCCACCCCACCCCCATGTCTGAGCCAGGCTGGCTTGTTCTGGAATCGGATCGCATCACGAGAAGAGATGGGATCTGCCCAGAGAAGCTAAACTCTGCTGCGGTTACAGTTTTATTTTTTCTGCTTCTTCCCTGACCTGCTCCCACATCCTGCCCTGCGGCTGCGCCTACCCTCTGCCTCTGCCTCACGCCAAGCGGGCCGCTCTCCCTGGCTACCCCTGGGCAGGGGACACAGGCCCTGGGACACTGGTTTGGGATGCACAGGACAAAGCAAAGAGCCTGCGACTCACCCCCCAACCCCACCAACCCCCCCGCCTTGTGACATCCCTCCTGCCTCTGCACCCCACGTGTCTGCCTGGAAGACATCAAGGCGGGGGAGGGGGGGCGCTGACATCCACCAGGCAGGGGAGCAGGGAGGTGGAGGAGAGGGGGATTCTTGGGGGGAGCCCGTGAGAGCCCAGCGGAAGCTCCTCCGGGACCCAGCCGCCGCCGCCCCACCCCCACCGTGGGAGCCAAGGGAGCTGCCTGGTCCTGGGGGGCCTGGGGAGCTCAGGGGCTCTCTGGCGAGACTGAGGAACCGCGCTGTCCCCATCAGAGACGCTGCTTCTGCGTCAGCGGCCTCGAGGCTGCTCACGATCTCTGGCACGTGCCGGAGGCTTGGCCCGACTTATGTCCCTGGCTGATTGTCACACAGGAAAACCCAGATAAGCTGGCCTTCGTCCTGTGCGTAACAGGAGGCACTTTCCGTTCAACAAGCCCTCGGCCGGGCGCAGGACCGAGCTTCCCCGAGAACTCTGTGTGCTCAGTGGTTGAACCAGGAGGTCACGGTTGGATTCCCGGTCAGGGCTCATGCCTGGGCTGTGGGCTTGATCCCCAGTGTGGGGCGTGCAGGAGGCAGCCGATCCATGATTCTCTCTCATCATTGATGTTTCTCTCTCTCTCTCCCTCTCCCTTCCTCTCTGAAATCAATAAAAATGAGACATACATATTTTAAAAACAGCGTGTGAGTAAGGAAGATGGGAAATTCGGCCAGCCAGGGGCGGTCTCGCAGACGGCTTGGTTCTCGTCCATGGCCGGCCATAGGTCCCCCCAGAAACCAGGGCGAATGTTCCCCATTCGGCAGATATCTTCCCCTTGGACAGAGTCCTGGCTGGCTCCAGGACAGGAGTCAGGACAAAAAACAACAACAAACAAACACACACAAAAAGCCCCCAAAAACCCAGCATTTTCCAATCAGAGCCGAAAGCCAGCAGCAGTGCCTGGGGGAGATCTCTCAGCCCTGGAGGGGTCAGAGGCGGGGCTAACCAGAGGCGAGGCCCCGCCTCCCGAGATGGGCAGGCCACGCCCACCTGGGATTCCTGGAGCTCTCGCCTCCCACACCAGGCTTTCTGGGCTAATCTCCAAAGGCTGCCTGAATATTCCCAGGACAGGGCCAGCTCCTGGGCCCCCGGAGCCCCAGGCTGCCCCCCGAGGCGGACGAGACATTCCGGGAAGAACTGCCCAGGGGAGTACACGGGGTTCCCCCCATGTGCCAATCCCTCCTGCCTCCCTGGGCCATCACGGCTCTTCAGCATGGCTGTTTTCTCGTCCTTGGGGAACGAGGTGACCTTTGTTCCAGTCTGTCAGGCTCGAGGCTCCCCCCACCATGGCCCCTGGGCCTGGCCCACCACGGCCCGCACGGTCTGCCTCTCCCAGCTATTTTGGGCCGGGCTGCCCCGTGGTCCCACAAGCGACGAGACTGGTATTGCAAACTTCTGAATTCCATGCCAAAGGGTAGCCACGGCAGGGTCAGATGGCGGGGTCCCACTGCCAAGGGGCGGGGGCGGGACAGTCTCCACGGAGGTTTGGAGAAGGAGCCGAGATGGAAACTTGGCAGCCAGACCCGGCCTCCCTGGCGGCTGGCCCAGGCCGGTTGCTCCTGGATGGCAGTGCCCGTGGTCAGGAAGGTCCGGGGCACGTGGGGATCGGGACTGGCAGCGACGGAGACCGAACGGGCCGACCTGCTTTCCTTTCTGCTCCCCACACCTGGAGAAGAGCCGTCTAAGGACCCTTCCCAGGACGTCCCCTCTGCACGCCGGAGGCCAAGACGGACAGTCCCTGGGAGAAGCTACCACCGCTGGCTCGCTGGACCACCCACGGGCTTTCTGGCCCTAACCCAGCCAGACAGCACCTCCTGCCTCCGTTTCCCCAGCTCTCAACGTCCCTGCTGGGGGAAGTCCTCTCAGGACTCCGGGTTCAGTGGTTCTCAACCTTCTGGCCCTCTAAATACAGTTCCTCATGTGGTGACCCCCAACCATAAAATGATTTTCGTTGCTACTTCATCACTGTCAAGTTGCTACTGTGATGAATCGTCATGTAAATATCTGATCTGCAGGATGGTCTTTGGCGACCCCTGTGAAAGGGTCGTTCGACCGCCAAAGGGGTCGGACCCACAGGTTGAGAACCGCTGGGTTAGATGGAGGTGGGCGGAGGCCGCTGGGTTAGGCAATGTTTTCCATAACAAATACAATGGGAGGGCCCCCTAGTGGAGGGCGCAGTTCCGAGCCCTGGGCTGTGAAATGGATGAGTCCCTGAATCAATACATGGATGAATAATCAAAGCGAAGGATTAGTCTTTAATGCAGAGCCACAACCAAGAGCAGAGAATTCCCAGCAGGAGGCCTCAGCGAGGTCTCCCAGGATGCAAAGATGACCCGGGGAATGGGAATCGGAGGAAAACCTAGTGACCGTGACCGCGGAGTCATTGTTGACGGCGAGGGGCACCGGTTCACGGCACAGCCTGACCACGAGTCGGCTCACGAGATGCAACACCCTTTGACATAGTCCTCTTCCTTCCAGATCTCTACCCTACAGACACACTTACAATCGAGCGCAAAGAGTAAGTTCAAGGATGCGCCCGGAGCGTCGCTGTGATGGGACGGGATCACGGGGCCCTGAAAGGACCCGCAGGCCTGGTAAACCATGACAGCTCACCCACCCCTCCCAGTGCCATAAAACACCAATTAAAAATATATTTTTTAAAATGTATTTTTATTGATTTCAGAGAGGAAGGGAGAGAGAGAGAAACATCAATGATGAGAATCATCCATCGGCCGCCTCCTGCACGCCCCTCACTGGGGATGGAGCCGGCAACACAGGTTCGTGCCCTTGACTGGAATTGAACCCAGGACCCCTCAGTCCGCAGGCTAACGCTCTATTCACTGAGCCAAACCAGCTAAGGCGAAAAGTATATATATTTGTTTTAAAAAGAGGCATTAATGAGGACAGTGGAGCTGGTGTGAAATCTTATACCAATACAAAACGATCAGAGCCGCATGCCAGTTGATCTATGATAACACTGTCATCGCACACATGTCCATGGGGAAGGGATGGGTTATCTTCTAAAAGCAGCCCTGGGAGGTTCCCATGAGCAGAAGACGATGTATATACAGCCAAAAGCTATAAGAGAGATGGCCACCCTCTCAGGCAGGAGACGGTGAGTGGACTCTTCAGGCCATCCAGTTGGTAAAATTAACACAGCTGGTAACCTCTGCGGGCAAGGGGCTCCCTCAGCCCTGCACACAGCTGTATTTCCTTCTGTAAAAGTGGTTCTAGGCATGTGTATGGGTTGGGGATACATAGCTATTTGCTGAAATTATAAAATAAAGCATGAGAACGATTCACCAAACATTCAAGATGGTGGTCGCCTCTGGGATGAGAGGGAGTGGGAACCAGGAGGAGTACCTGGAGGGCTTTCAAGTACACAGGACTATGTTTCATTTCTTTAAGCTCAGGAGGCATGTAAAGATACTAGAGGCCCGGTGCACAGATTCGTGCACCGGTGGGGTCCCTCGGCCTGGCCTGCACCCTCTTGCAATCTGGGACCCCTCGGGGGATGTCGGAGAGCCTCAGGCCGAGGGCCTCTAGTATGCTATAAGATCTTTGGTTCATCTCTTCCCACCCTCCCCCGTCCCCTCTTCCCTCTGAGATTCATCAGTCTGTTCCCTGTTTCCATGCCTGTGGGTTCTGCTCCTGTGTTGAGCATCTGCCCCTTGGCGGTCAGTGCACATTATAGCTACCAGCCGGTCGCCAGTCTGCTTAGGCTTTTATATATATACACACTAGAGGGCCAGTGCACGAGTTCATGCACAGGTGGG